GGGACAACGAAAGCGCGCCGAGGGGCACCGCTGGTGATGAACTCTTGGACTGGGTGCACCAACATAGACTGGCGCAACACGTCAAACTACCCACACGATTCAGAGGTGGCCATCGTCCGTCAACGTTAGACTTAGTTATAACCAGGTACAGAACAGACCTCACTTCTCCTATGATGGAAGAACCGTTAGGAAAGAGTAACCATGGGATACTGCAACGAAAGTTTGTTGCGAGACGCAGTAGGCCGAATGCTAGGCTAGTAAGAAACTACGCCAGGATCAACGAGGAGCACATAAAGGTAGCTGCTGAGAGCATAAGCTGGTTTCCTGTTTCAATTGAACCATCAGTCGAGGTTAACACAAGAGTTTGCTACCCTGGTTCCGCATAGATCCAGAAGCAGACATCCTTGATGGTTGCCAAGAATAGAAAAGGCTCTCACTTCTCGTAGAAGGTGCTGGGCTTTCCACAAGCTTCACGGAACGCATAGTTCTTGGGTCAACTACAGACTGGCTAGAAATAAGGCACAGGCAATGCAGCGGGAAGCAAAGTTTGGGTATGAAAAGAAACTAGATAGAAACATCAAAACGAACATGAAAAGGTTTTTTGAGCACGTACGATCCAAGGGAACCACACGCAAAAGTGTTGGAAACTTTGGGATGGCAAACGGTAACATAGCTAGTAGATAAAGTCACTAACAATCTGGATAGAGGGGAGATGTCTGCTACTTGGCCTTCCAAAAGACCTTTGAGTCTACTGTTCCTGAAATTAAGGGCCTTCCAAATTCACCCGAAATTGCTTGCCTCAACGGAAGATTGTCTGAAAGGAAGGACCCTCTATGACAACATAGAAGGTACCAAATCGATGGAAGGCAGGATAGCAAGTGAAGTCACTCTGTCAGCTTTCGGCCCTCTTCTATTCCTATTCCACATCAATGTCTTACTGACTAGGATTGAGAATCCAGTATTCAAGTTCGCAGATGACCTGAAACTGGCGGGTTCCCCCTCAAACCAGACCATGCAGAGGGAGTCGAATGTCCTCATACGCTGGACTGAAGATTAGGAGCTACCGATCAACGTGGCCTGAAAGCACTAGCCCAGTAAGATGAATCATCACTGGGACTCTGCAGAAGCGAAGAAATGAGGGACCTGGGAACTCATATCACTAGTAATTTCAAGTCAGAAAAGCACTGCCTACTGGCGGCAGGTAAAGCGAACAACCCATTGTATCAACTGCTGAGAACTGTTGTCTCGCGGGACCCAGATGTGCTATTACATCTATAGAAGGTGTATTTGAGACCACACGTATGATACTGCACTCAAGCGTGGTCACCATACCTGGAGCGGGAGAGGAAGGTTCTAGAGCCGGTTCAGCGCAGGTTCACGAGGTGCTTCCCCACCTTAGGGAACATGATTAACCAACTCGTCTATCTATACTGAACCTATTTTCCCTGAGAAGGCGATGGCTTAGGATTGTTCTAATAGAAGCCCTTAAGAGTAAAAAAGACAAATGATACTGTGCTCCATTGTTCGGTCAGTCTTCGGGTGCTATTTTGAAAATCAGGGATTTCATTATGCATGACAATTACACAGAGTAAGGAAATACGTAATGGCCAATGCAGGCTGCTGTGGAGCACTGAAGTGCCAGAAACCTGTCTCGAACAGTATTCAGTGTGACTGCTGCTAATATTCTTACCATTCAGGGTGTGCTCGCATAGACTGTAGCACATACGGAACTTACGTTGGGAACGACGCCTTGCAGTGGCTCTGCTGCATATGCTTAACCTTAGCGTAACGGGCAGGTCGTAAAAGCCCTGCAAATGTAGGTAATACCAGAGTTATAATACGGAACTCACTGGATTCGTAGTTCAACCTGAGGAAAGTCGTAAGCGAGATAGAATGGGAAGTTACCACTCTAGAGAGAGAGCTGTTGCTTCTAAAGAAAGGGAAGGGAGTTGCAATAGACCGAAACAGGAACATCCTTATCTATACCAATCAGGAACCGATCATACGAAACGCAAAAGCCCGTGCATACACAGAACAAATGAAAATGCGGGACCTCATGAGACTTTCTGGGCTAACCCCGCATGCACACATTAAGTGGGTGCAGAGGGACGGCCACTGGACCGACCCAGCAGGCAGCCTGGAGCAGAGAAAAGCTAGGCCTCTCCTAGTTTAATTTGGCAATCCCGCGGTTCAGGACAAAATGCTCAGCAACTGCGAGAAAATAGTGTGCCACTGGGGGAAGGTATCAGGTCACAACTGATACCCCAAAGCAGGGGGCATGGCAGACCTCAGAGCAGAGGCAAACACCCGCGATAGGGAAGAGTAAGGGAATCGTAAAGGCGATCCTCAAGATATCCATCATTAAGGTCTCTCTGGAAACAAGCCCCGTTAGGAAATCGGAGTACCAGTGCAAGCTGAGCTACGCGGCGGTGGTTTTCTCGACTTCCATGAGGTCGAAACAGTTGGTGCCTGCGGGACCAAAACCTGTAAGGAAGCAAGGAACAAAGATGGGTTCAAACGTATCCCACAGCCAAATCTGGGGCACAACCGACGGTTCAGAGGGCAAAACCCCTCAGTGTCAAGCTTAGTAGGAGCCAAACTCCACTTCCAGTTGTGCCAATAAAAGAAGTAAAGACTATGGGGCTAGCGCTCAGCTACACGCCTGGTGCAGAAAACCGCATGCAGGTATTGCCTAAGGCGAAACAGAGGCGGAGGAAACCGCTACAGGTTCTCACAACTGAAATCGTGGATCAGACGCTGGCACGGATCGCGACATCAAGGTCTACTCAGACACAAGAAAGACGTCGAGGGACACAGCACGGACAAAAGGACCCATGGTCGATTGTCAGTTGCAAGGAGAACTGGAGATCAGAGCGGCCCGGTAATCAACAACACGGTTATCGGAAAAGCTACAAGCCCTATCAGGGTAAGGTCCCTCGGCAGGAATGGTTACTGCTCCTTGCAGGACGTAGAACAGAGTACTATATCAGAAAATGTATTGGGCACTCGGGTGTTGCGGCCGGCGACATTGATAAATCGAGCGAAAATCACCTGCAAGAACCAGTTTTTCAGTCATAAGGCTTAAGTCTGTGGAACACAAACGTGTGCAGCGTCGAAAACAAATGGGTAGAGTTTACGCTAAACAGCCAGGATTGCGACATTGTAATTCTTACTAAAACAAGCTATATCCGTGGAACGACAAACCCCTCCCAACTTCACCCACTACAGAATTGATAGAGAAGGTGGACGAGGTGTTGGGGTTTTACTGCTCGTTCATCGGCAGTATATCAAGTGGGAAATACCGAAGTTCATATTCTGTACACAAACAGTGCGATCCACAGGATGCATCGTAATAAAACGAAGTCAACACTTTTGCATATTAGCTGTCTACCAATCACCAAACTCTTAACCGGCGGATGATCGAGCACTAATAAACCTCATTGCCACGGTCGATAGGGGAAACCACTGACTGATTATAATGGGGGATTTCAATCTCCCCGAAATAAAATTGCAGCATGAGGAAGAGGAAGATAATCAAGCAACACATGAATTCAGGAACTGATTCCATGCGGCAGCGCTCTACCAGCATGTTCGAGAATCAACGCGCATTCGACTAAGGTATAAACTGACTATCTTAGATCCTCATGCGGCAGGAGAGTGAGATCTGTGATCTAAGACAAAGGCTTCTTCTCGGTACAAGCAATCACAATGTACTGTTGGTCAAAACATGCACTGTAAAGGAAAACCCACAATTTCGGGCGAATGAATGTACAGGACTTGAAGCGAGATGCTCAAGCCAGGGCATGGTTCCCGCAGGGAACAGAAGCGTCCGTCGATCAACGATGGGGGGATAATCCGCAACCAGCTATTAGAGCTGACGGAGAGGCATGCTTCCTTTCAGCCTCGGAGTGATACCCACAAACCGCAGTGGTGGAACCCGGCCATCAAACGCGCCATAGGGAAAAGGACTCGTAGGTGGAATGCATTTGTTCTCTCAGGAGAACATGAACGATGGCTCCATTATAGGAAGGCGGGAAACTATGCAAACAAGCTAGTAAATCAGATGAAAATGACCTTCGAGGTTAAAATCGTCAAGAGCGCGCGCCAGGAACCCAAGAGGTACTCTGGCTGTGTAATCGAAGAATGCACTAAGACAATCGGTAGTCATTCTGGAGAACCCCGGAGGTGGTCTCTCTGTCCCAGATTACGAAAAATGTGAGACGCTCATGGGGTATTTTGAAACCGTCTATAAAATAGACGATGGTCGTGCGGTCCCACGAGAGATTTTGGACCCCTCCAATGGGTGATGTGGAAGTTTCAGTTATTAGTGTTCATGATGTCATGCAGGGCTTGAATGTAAACAAGTCCGCTGGCAGCGACGGGCTACATCTGGCCATCATCAAACCGCCAGCTCCTGTGCTCGCCCCTGCGATAACCGCACTCTACCAGGACTCCCTAAGGGCTGGGTGAGTACCTAGTGATTGGGTGACTGTCACAGTGGTAGCCATCCACAAGAGTGGAGATAGGAAGCAACCTGGTTACTGCAGACCCGTAAGTTTGACCAGCGTGCTGTGTAAGGGCTTAGAAACCATAGTTAGGAGTGCTCTCTGTGAAGACGTCACTCGGCTTAGGTTGATTAGCCCTGCCCAGCACATCTTCCTCCAAAAGAGGTCGTGTCTGAGCAACCTTCTTTGTTTCTTAGATGAATTTATAAGGATGTTAGATGGAGGTCAGAAATTCGAAGTATGCTAACTGGACTTTAGCAAAGCTTCCTAATCGGTAAATCACCGGCTCCTGCTAGTAAAAACCCAGGGATTTTGGTCTTCCAACAGCTCTAGCTAGATGGATAGAAGCTTTCCTCACCAACCGGACCTATAGAGTTCGGGTGAGAGAAGCTCTGTTAAACGTTGGCAGCGTATCCAGCGGAATGACTCGTGGCTCAGTGCTAGCGCGATGCACTTTCTGCTGTTTATAAATGACTTGGTCCAGGAGCTAGCGGTTCCTGCCTTTATCTTTGCCGACGACGTCAAACTAGTGAACTCAGGACCTGCAGATCAACTGGAGGGTGATCTGACTAAGGTAATCCGGTGGACACAAAAATCGGTCTTGGAGCAAAACGCCACCAAGTGTCACGTTCTAAATACCATAGGGCTTCCGGTTCGAGTGGCTACGACCACTGAACCGACGGTCTTCGCTCGCGTAGGTCGAATGCTGGATCTGGGAGCTTTGGTCCGCGAGGATTTTAGGCCCAGTGATCAATGCCTGTCCGCCGCGCAAAAAGCGAGGGGGCAATTGTTCCAGCTTAAGGCGGCCTTGTCGTCAAGTAAGGCTGAATTTTTTCAACCTCTTTATAAGGCCATCGTTAGGCCGCAGTTAGAATACTGCGTGCAGGCTTGGGCGCCTTACATGAAGAAGGATATCATTGTCATTGAGAGGGTACAACGGTTAGCTACTATGATGATCGCGGGGATGAGAGGTCAGTCATATAGGAGGAGATTAGAATCCATAGGGCGTTTCTCCATGGAGAGGAGACGCCTGAGAGACGGCATTATTGAGACCTTCTAAATAGCGAAGGGGCTGTCAGGGCTAGAAGCGGACAGCCTGTTTACCCGAGCACCGCTCGAGTCAACAAGGGGGCATCATCTGAAGCTAATGAAGCCCAAGAGCTGACTCGATTTTAGACACAACTTCTTCACAAGTAGAGTGATAGATGAGTGGAATCAACTATCATCTTCACCACTAGACTGTAGGACAGTCGAAGAGTTGAAAAGACAATTAGATGGGGTGTGGATCAGCCTCTATCCTGAGATTTGGTAGAGTGCCTAATATCGAGAGTAGCTGTTCCATGCATCCTATTCTCGAATAAACTCTCGTTTCAGATACGGCCTCCCATAAAGGAGGCTGTTCCAAACGAAGAAATTGGCTGTGGTCATTCGGTCGACAAGAAGTCGAAGATCCGGAAGAACGTGGTTCCGGCTGGAGCAAGAATCTTGACGCTCGGTTGGCGAAAGCCTTTATCGTCGTGTGCCCTCTGACCTGATATGAATATAATAGAATAAACGAGAATCCTCTGAGATCTGAAGATTGGAATTTTCAATTTCATTGTTTATTGCAATACATTTTCCCCCTTGAATTCATGCCTTAAGGCGCACGCTACGTAACAATAATCAGTTATCGTGGTTGGTCCTCTTACGATTTCGTCATGGAGGGCTACAATTCGAGGAAGCCCCCAAGTGTCCGTGTTACTGTTTTGGAAGA